TATATATATATATATATATATATATATATATATATATATCCCATCTCTCTCTCTTTTTTGTTCTAAGAACAGTCATTAGGATGCATAGAAAATTAGTTGCAGGATCCAACCTTTTGGTCGGCCTGAAAACAGCCCTTGGGGAGAGAACAGTGGCCATGTCCTTTTCCCCTAGACCATCCTTACAGCTAGCGTCCATTCTCCCAGGCCTGGGCAGCAGCGAAGGTAGAGCCAGCAGGGGCGTGAAGCATCCACCCAGAGCATGGACAGGGATCTGTGCTCACTCGCCCCCTCTAGTGGTTGAGACTGGGATGCTTGGAAGCTGAGCCCAGCCGCAAAGAAACACTGGCTCTTTGGGTCTCCCTATGACACCTCCCCAGACATCCCATAATGTTTCCTGCAGCGGAGAGGGGCCTGTGGGGGAGGCAGGTGATGGTGGCACTGGAGTTTAGTTCTGACTCAGACACCAACGGTCTGAGTCAAGGTGTGGGCAGGGAGGTGAGCACACAGCTGGGCCTCCCTGTCCAGGTGGGAGGATGGCCTTGACCCGCCTCCTTTGGGAATGCCCATCCCACCCACCTCCTGCAGAAGCTGAAAAGGCTGCTGAAGGGTCCCCCTGCCCTGGTGTCTGCTTCCCGGAGGGTGAAGCAGCCCTCTCTGTCCATCTTTTCTGACGATGTCGCGTCAGCCTTCCCCAGATTTGGTTTCCCAGTTCCTGGCATGTTCCATCGTATTCTCCTCCTCTGTAGTCCCTCACTCCCCACCTCTCTCTGCTTCTCTCTGCTGCCCTCTCTGTCCACCTCGCAACCCCTCTCTGTTCTGGCTGCCCTCTGCGTCACTGGCCCGCTCTGGACCTGCGTGTCTCCCTCACCGTCTCCAGCCTCTCTATGCCGGCAAGGTCAGCGAAGACGGGGCTCCAAGGCTTTTCGTGCTGAAAGTTTCTGCAACGGACTTGGACGCCGACACCAACGCTCAGATCACGTACTCCCTCCATGGTCCGGGCTCTGAGGACTTCAAGCTGGACCCCCACACAGGTGGGTTTCCGAAGCTGCAGGGTGAAGCCAAGACCCCATTCACTGAGTGTTAAGTGCCCAGCACCCTGACTGACTCTCCCGAGCAGGGGTTCACGGACCCGTCTATCCACTCAGCAAACAAGTGCTCTGTATGAGGCCCAGTCTAAGGTGCTGAAGCCCAAAGCAACCCAAAGCCACTGCCACCCAGTCTACACCTCGTAGCAACCCGACAGGACAAAGCAGAACTGCCCTGGGGAGTTTCTGAGCATGTAGCTCTTATGAGAGCAGAGAGCTTCATCCTTCTCTTTCAGAACAGCTGATGGGCTCGAACTGTTGACCTTGTGGTTAGCAGCCCAATGCCTAACCCTCGATGCCACCAGGATGCCTTAGGAAGTGCTAAAGACATGATCAGTCGACATAAGACAAGATTTGACACTTCATAATCTAGTGAGGAAGGCAGCTAATGGATGACTGGTTGAAATATGCTGAGTTCAGATGAAATGCTGGGTGCTGACAGGGGTGTTTGATAGCGCGACTTGACTTAGGTTGGGAGAAGGTAGGTGTAAATTCTCTGAGGAAATGCTATTGTATGTGTGATTTGAGAATATATCTAGGGGAAGGGGAGTAGTGGAATCACAGGGAAGGGCATTCAAGCAGAAAAGAAAATTTATACAAGAATCTTGTGTCAGAAACAGCAGGGCACTTCTGAGAGCAAAAGGGGTAAAGGGAGAGGGCAAAGGGCAAGACCCTAGGGCCAGCAAGGCCAAGCCCCACTGTTAGAGTCTGGGGGGTTTAGGCAGGTGAGTGTCAGGTCAGATGACTGTGCCGTCCAGGGGAGAAGACCTCACAGGGCTTCTGTGAGGTGTGTGGGCGATGAAGAAGTGGAGGCCTAGCCCAGGCCTGGCACTTGATAAGAACTCAATACAGAGTTTCGGCCATTATCATCGTGATTAGTTTGGGCACCACGTCCCCAGGGGCCAGAGAACAGGAGACCAATATCTTAGGGAAGCTGGGCTGTGAGGTCCTGGTTGGGAGGCCGCATGGGACCTGCTTCTGGAGGGAGAGCAACCCCATGAGGTGGGGTCCTTGATTTGCTGTCATAGGGGAAGACGTGGGGCTGTGGAGCACAGAAGATCCAGGTCACAGAGGGCCAGCTACTAACACTTGCCCTGGGCCCAGTAGTTCAAAGGATGCCTGGAGATTCCTGAGTAGGGAGGTGGGAATGGTATCCCAGGACTCTGTCTGGGTAGACGGCAGGCAGCACTGTCCTTCCTGCCTTCAGCATGGGTGTGCTCAGTGATGACCCAGGCACCTTACCTAGCCTCTCTCTGCTGCTGTTTGTTCAGCGGGAGGATGGATTGGTGGGGTTTAAAACACACACACAGAGTAGTTTTTCTGATTGTGGAAATAATGTATGCTCATTGTACAAAATTGCAAGCCCTGTGTTTGACTAATGGTTTTCAAATTATGCAGAACCTGGCCAGTCTTCATGGCACCTCCTCCCTCACCAGGAAAGAGAAGCGCTGGGGATTCCCTCAGCCTGGTCTCTGTGCAGCTCCCCCTCTGGGCACTCTCGCAGACTTGGAGTGCTCACTTATGATTTGCCCTTTTTTCACTTAGCAGTGTCTCAGAGATGCTAATAGGACAGTATGTAAAACTATCACAATTCTTCTTTTGTGGACTCAGTATTTTGCAGTATATGGCTAAACCATAATATATGCAACCAGTCCCTTTGATTAAAAATGCTGCAGAGGCTGACCTTAAGCAGATGTGTTGATCTTTGGGTGAATTCACCCACATTCTTGGATACATTCCTAGAAGTGAAAGCGTGGGTCAAAGGGTAACACATTTTTAGTGCTGTTAAAAACTACCCAATTGCCATTGTGCCTCTGTCATTTGTTGGTGGCAATTTAGAATGGAGATCCTGGTGTTGGGGTGTTGGGGGAGGATTGGGGTTCAGAAAGGAGTGGGGGATAGAGGCACATGCCGAGGTATGTCCCCAAAGAAAGCTCATCTGCTCCTGTTTTTCCTTTAAGGGGAGCTGACCACAACCACAGCCTTGGACCGAGAGAGAAAGGATGTGTACAACCTTGTTGCCAAGGCGACAGATGGAGGAGGCCGGTCGTGCCAGGCAGACGTGGCGGTCCACGTGGAGGATGTGAATGACAATGCCCCACGGTTCTTCCCCAGCCATTGCTCCGTGGCTGTCTTCGACAACACCACAGTTAAGACTCCCGTGGCTGTGGTATTTGCCAGGGATCCAGACCAAGGTAGGTGGGCGATGGGATGGGGTGGGGGTGGGGGGGTCCCTTCTGCTCCGCCATGAGTTCCTGGACTCCTCCAGGGTGATGAGTGTGCTCTCTGTGTGTTCCTTTCCGAGTCTATGGAAGCTTTCAAGTGGAAACCGTACATCCACAAACTCAAGCTATGACCACCTTGTGAGGCAGGGGTAAGGCTTTTCATCCTCACTGCTTGTCCCCGTCACCTAGACCCAGAAGTGTTTTAATACTGCCAACTAACCTCAGGCGTTTTTCATAGAAACGGTTTCATCCAAAACATGCCAATTACAGTGATTTCAACATAATTTTCCAGAAGCACTTTTACACACACTCCTTACAGTCTAGTGAACTCCGGAATGGGTTATCTATGTAGTGAACGTGAATCATCCCCAACATGCTTCAGAGCAGCGGTTCTCAACCTGTGGGTCGCAACTCCTTTGGGAGTCGAATGACCCTTTCACAGGGGTCGCCCGATTCATAACAGTAGCAGCAAAATTACAGTTATGAAGTACCAAGGAAAATAATGTTATGGTTGGGGGTCACCACCACATGAGAAACTGTATCAAAGGGTCGTGGCATGAGGGAGGTGGAGAACCACTGCTCCAGAATGACGTGAATGATGCTATTCTCATTGGGGTTCACTTTTCTTTTACAAATTTACAAGGTGAATTGGAGGCATTCACATCACCTCTATCATATTATACAGATTCTCGCTTCCGCCATCCTGAAGTGCAGTGGTGTGTATGTGTGTGTGTGTGTAGATTATGTGTATTTATAGACCATACAAGTCACAAACTAGCATCTCATTATTATATCTGGTTTTCCTGGATTAAATCTTGTCATTCAAGAAGGGTAAGAAATACCTTTGAGATCAAAGTTTCCAGCCAATATAGATGACTATTGATAACAATATAATAAAAGTGGGAACAAAACTTTCCTTTGTTTGACACCAGCAAGGTGAATTTGAGACTCTCTAGTGGATGCGTTTTAGCCTGACTTTGAAGGAGGTGGGGAATTGTGGGATGCTGAGGTTCTAGAAAGGCAAATAGTGCAAAGGCAGGAAATCTGTGTGTGTGTGTGTGTGTGTGTGTGTGTATTATGTGCATGTATGTGTGTGGAAATTGTGTTTGTTCATGTGTGGAGTTTATGTGTGTATATATGAATGTGTGTATGTAAACTGTTTGCATATGTGTGTGGAGATTTGTATGTGTGTCTGAATGTGTGTGGAGATTGCGCATGTGTGGTGATGTGTAAGAAGGATTATACGGGTATCAGTGTGTGGATAACGTTGTTACGTGCTGTTAAGTCGGTTCTTACTCATAACGATCCTATGTACAACAGAACAAAACCTTGCCCCTCCTATGCTACCCTCACAGTCGTTGTTTGAGTCCAGTGTGATAGTCACTCTCGCTGTCTGTCTCCTTGACAACCGTCCTCCTTTATACTGACCCTCTTTTATCACCAAGCATGGTGTCAGTTTCCAGGGAGTGGTCCCTCCTGGTAATATGCTCCCAGTACTTGCGATGGAGTCTTGTCATCCTCTCCTCTACAGAGCCTTCTGCCTGTAGTTCTTCCAAGACAGGTTTGTTGATTATCCTGGCAGCTCATGGTACTTGCATGTTGATACTTTTCTTTGTCTTCTCCAGCTGCCTTTGAAATTTTCCCTGGGCTCTTTGACGTCATCATTTCTTCCATTTGCTTTAGCTAGTCTAGGACCAAGAGGAAGTTTCTGAATCTCGTCTGACATCCACTTTGATCTTTTCTTCCCTTTTGAATGACCCTTTGCTTTCTTCATGTATGGTGTTCTTGATGTCATCGGGTCTCCTATCACTAGTGTTCAGTCCATCACATCTACTCTTGAGAGGGTCTTGAAATTCAGGTGGGGTATACTGAAGGTTGTATTTGGGCTCTTGTGGAGCCAAGTTCAAGTTCAGCTTGAACTTACATATGATCAGTTGACGGTCTGCTCCACAGTGGCCCCCGGCCTGGCTTTAGCTGCTGATATGTAGTCAGTTTGATTTCTGTGGATACCATCTGGAGAAGTCACCTGTAGTTGCCTTTTATGTCTTTGAAAAAAGGTATTTGCAATGAAAAAGTAGTTGGTCTCACAAAATTCTATCACGTGATCTCCAGCTTCATTTCTATCACCAAGGCCATATTTTCTGACTACTGTTCCTCTTTGCTTCCAACTTTTTCATTTCAGTTGCCAATAATTTTCAATGCATATTGATCAATTTTAGACTGAAGTAGTTGGTAGAATTCTTTGATTTCTTCATCACTAGCTTTAGTAGTTGGTGCTTACATTTGAATATCATGTATATTGACTAGACTTCCTTTTTTTAAAAAATTGTTTTATTAGGTGCTCATACAACTCTTATCACAATCCATACATACATCAATTGTGTAAAGCACATTTGTACATTCATTGTCCTCATCATTCTCAAAACATTTGCTCTCCACTTAAGCCCCCGGCATCAGGTCCTCATTTTTACCCCTCCCTCCCCCCTCCCTCATGAACCCTTGATAATTTATAAATTTTTATTTTGTCATATCTTGCCCTGTCCGACATCTCCCTTCACCCACTTTTCTGTTGTCCATCCCCCAGGGAGAAGGTCACATATAGTTCATTGTAATCGGTTCCCTCTTTCCAACCCACCCTCCCTCTACCCTCCCAGTATTGCCACTCACACCACTGGTCCTGAAGGGATCATCTGCCCTGGATTCCCTATGTTTCCAGTTCCTATCTGTACCAGTGTACATCCTCTGGTCTAGCCAGACTTGCAAGGTAGAATTTGGATCTTGATAGTGGAGGGGAGGGGGGAGGAAGCATTTAGGAACTAGAGGAAAGTTGTATTTTTCATTGTTGCTACATCGCACCCTGACTGGCTCGTCTCCTCCCCGAGACCCCTCTGCAAGGGGGTCTCCAGTGGCCTACAAATGGGCTTTGGGTCTCCACTCACACTCCCCCCATCATTCACTATGGTAAGACTTTTTGTTCTGATGACGCCTGATACCTGATCCCTTCGACATCTTGTGATCACACAGGCTGGTGTGCCTCTTCCATGTGGGTTTTGTTGCTTCTGAGCTCGATGGCCGCTTGTTTACCTAACTAGACTTCCTTATATTCACATAGATATTCCCCAATCACTGACAGCACCTCCACGATAGATCTTGAAATGTCCTTTTTGACTATGACTGCAAAGTCATTCCTCTTGAATGTCATCAGTGGCATAGTAAACCATATGATCACCCAATTCAAATGGCCGATACCAGTCCATTTCAGCTCACTAATGCCTCAGACGATCAATCTTCATGTGCTCCACTTCATTTTGGATGACTTCCAATTTTCCCAGATGGAACGTTGTCTATTCCAAGTTCCAATGATTAATAGATGTCTGCAGCTGTTTCTCACTGTTTTGAGTTGTGCCCCATCAGCAAATGGAGATCCCCAAAGCTAGCCCGTGCCCACAGCATTCTGGTGGACTCTACTTTGAGAAGGGACTTCTTCCTCAGCCATGTTTGGAATGCCTTCCAAACCCATTTCTCGGCGCTGTGCCTGATGACGCTGGGCTGCTTATCCACGGAGATGGCCGTAGTTGATAATGCCCTGCTGCTCTTCAGAAGGCTTAAAGTGGCTCGTTCCTCAGAAGCGGCAAGCTGATTCCTTCTTCATTGTCTGTTCTTAATCTGGACGCTCTACTGACACCTGTTCACCTTGGGTGGCCCTGCTGGCATTTGAAATCCCAGGGACAAAGGTTCCTGCATGCCAGCAACAATGCAATCCACCACAGTATGAAAACGTGGCAGGCAAGCATGGCCCACTCAATATAGGGTATGCATATCCTCCGTATGGAGACTCCTCTCCCCATGCACTCCTGACTGAAGGGTTCGCCGCAGGCAGGGCCTCAGTATGTATGACCATGCCTCCGTCTCCCCCACAGGCGCCAATGCCCAGGTGGTGTACTCTCTGACGGGCTCCGCCGACGGCCACTTTTCCATCGAGGCCACCACGGGCGTGATCAGGCTGGAAAAGCCGCTGCGAGACCGGCCGCAGGCCGTGCTGGAGCTCACGGTCCGGGCCTCGGACCTGGGCACGCCGACTCCGCTGTCCACACTGGGCACCGTCACGGTCTCCGTGGTGGGCCTGGAGGACTACCTGCCGGTGTTCCTGAGCACCGAGCACAACGTGCGGGTGCCCGAGGACGCCCAGCCCGGCACGGAGGTGCTGCACGTGGCTGCCCTCACTCGGTCCGGCGCCGAGAAGACGGGCTACGGCATCGTCGGTGGGAACCAGCAGGGCCGCTTCCGCCTCGACGCTCGCACAGGTGAGGCGGCGCGCAAGCGCACGTATATGCGTCTGCACGCACGCCCCGAGACGGGATGAGCGGGCTTGCGGGGGAGGGCCGTCAGGTGTCTGTCCACACCGCCCACTCGCTCTGCTGTCCTCCACTCCCTGCGTCTATCCACGTGCCTTCTTCCAACTTGGGCCTGTCTGAGTGGGGAACCTCCCTTGTCCACTCACGTCCCCCCACCCCCGGGACTGGGTGCCCGGGGTCCTCGGGGACCCAACTCCTCAGGCATGTCTTGAGGCCTCCTGGGCTCAGCGCAGCCCGGGAGGTGAGGCTCGATTCGACCCTTGGCCACCGAACCTGGAACACTTGCTGGAAGCTGGTGCTTATGCAGCTCTGGAAAAGGCTGCCAGCTTCCTTCCAAGATCCTCGCATCCATGCATGTTCCCACCTTCTCATGGAGAGGGAGGCAAATGGCCTTTCTGCTCACAGGCGAAGGGTCTAGGTCAGATTCACAGTTACCTGGAGGGGTCTCCGACATGGCACAGCACCGCCCCCGTGTCAAACCCCAATCCCGAAACAAAAGTAGTGCCATCCACCAAGTCGGTGTTGACACACAGCGACCCTACGGACAGGGTGGAACTGCCCCTCTGAGTTTCCGACATTGTAGCTTGACCGGAGTACAAAGGGTATCTTTCTCCCAACTTCCTACACAGCCCTCTTGTGGTTGAGCGGTGCCTCCAACATGTGTGCATTGCGTACACCTGTGCACAGAAGTAGGAGGCGCATGCTGTAATTATCCACATTTCATCTTTACCCTTCACCCCACACCCAGTCGTTGCAGAGTTATTTCAAAGCCAACCCCAGACATCTCATTTTTCACCCGCAAGCCCTGCAGTGGGCATCTCTAAGTGGTTTCCAGCTGGCATCATAGTGACTCCTGCTCGTGGAGACCTTGTGGGTGTCGGAGTAGAACTGTGTGCCAAAGGGTTTTTAATAACTGATTTTTGTGAAGGAGGCAGCCACGCCTCTCCTGCAGGGTCTCTGGGGAGACTCAAGCTGCACCATTAAACCCGATCAAACGCACTGCAGTGGGAGTCCATTAGGACTCATAGACTAGAACTGCCTCATAGGGTTTTAAAGCTGTACATCTTTTCCTTTTTTAAAAAAATAAGTTATTTTGGGGGGACTCTTACAGCTCTTACAACAATCCCGACATCAATTGTATCAAGCACATTTGTACATATGTTGCCACAGTCATTTCCAAACATTTTCTTTCTACTTGAGCCCTTTGTATCAGCTTCTCTTTTTAAAAAAATCATTTTATTAGGAGCTTGTACAACTCTTATCACAATCCATCCATCGTGTCAAGCACATTTGTACATTTGTTGCCCTCATCATTTTCAAAACTTTTTCTTTCTACTTGAGCCCTTGGTATCAGCTCCTCATTTTTCTCCTCTCTCCCTACTCCTGTCCCTCATGAACCCTTGATAGTTTATAAATTATTAATATTTTCTCATGTCTTACACTTTCCGATGTCTCCCTTCACCCACTTTTCTGTTGTCCGTCCCCCAGGGATGGGGTTACATATAGATCCTTGTCATCTGTTTCCCCTCAAAGCTGTACATCTTTAAGGAAGCAGATTGCTAGACTATTCTCCCATAGAGCAACGAGTGGGTCCAAATTGCTCACCTTTTGGTTAGCAGTAGGGTGCTTTAACCCAGCCTGTATGTTAACTGCTACTTGGTCGATTCCGACTCTAGTGATCCTGTATAGGGTTTCTGAAATGGTACATTTTTCCTGGAGAAAATAGCCTCATTTTTCGCCCGCAGAGTAGCTGTGGTGCGTTTGAACCACCAACCTTGTGGTTTGCAACCCAATGCCTGGCTCACAAGATCACCGCCATTAGAAGTGATAAGAGATTTTTCTAATCTGTTCATTCCTCATTCACTTACTAGCTGGAATTCTTTTTTTAAGGATCTATTTTCCACCTTTAACTATTTGTTTATTGAGCAAAGGCAGGATGGGCCCTTGCTCTTTTCTACTCCAGTGTTCAGAATAATAAGTATATGTCCTAGCAGTGTATTGGACAGCTTGAGCTATTATTAAGCTCTTTTTGTAATCTCAGTTCTATCACTTACTGTCCGATGAACATCAATTGACTAATCTGGAAAAGGTACATCAGTGATTCTTCCTATTTTATAACAGTATTGCAATTTAATTGGGACACATTTACTATTACAGATTTCATAGAGATTTCAATGGCATGTTACAGAAAGTAAATGTGGCGGAAACACTGCTTTTGAGCATGATAATGAAGATGAGGGAAGGAGATTGCTTGGTGGGGAGCCTTGTTGAGCTGCCTCTCCTGGGACATTGCTCAAGATGCCTCAGGCCTCCTCCTCTGGGGTTCCAGTGGCCTCATTGCTACCCTCACCTCTTGCCTCTTCAGGGATCCTGTATGTCAACAGGAGCTTGGACTTTGAGACAAGCCCCAAGTACTTCCTGTCCATCGAGTGCAGCCGAAAGGGCTCTTCCTCCCTCAATGACATGACCACAATCGTAGTCAATGTCACTGATATCAACGAACACCAGCCCAGGTTCCCCCAGGAGCTGTACAGCGTGAGGGTCTTGGAGAATGCCTTTGTGGGTGACATCGTACTCACGGTAAGGACTCCAGCCTTGCTATTTGTTGGGCAGGGACTCAGGGGTGGACTCTCGCCCCCACCCCACCACACACACCTAGTCAGCTATAAACGTGGATTTATTTATCAAGTTAACACCCTGAGCACTTGACTCTTGATGGCTAACCAGTTGGCCAAACTGCTTCTCGTGACCTAGTGTCTCAGGGTGGTGCTTGATGTGATTGGTTAGGAGAGAGAAGAGCAGAGACAGCCCCCAGTGGGCTGCCAGGGGCTCGAGTGCCTGCACAGGACCTGGTCGCAGGGACTGATACGGAGTGCCAGTGAGTGGGGGTGGGGGTGGGGGTGGTGGGGGGAGGAACCCAAAAAACCACCTCTTTACATTAAGTAAGTCATTGTTCTCTCCTGCGATGCAGGAAAGCAGCCTCCATGTACTGATATTCAGGTGTTCGATGCCCCTCTTCAGGCAGCCTCCCAGTCTCCACTCCTGCATGCCCTGTCCTCCTAGCAACCTTCATTCCCATCACCCAGGAAGCAACACCTTTCCCCAGAGAGCTGCAGACTGTTTTCTCTGCCTGGAAAGCCTGCTATGCTCCCAGGAACCCGACTTATCCCATGGGGCTTCACAAATCCTTTCCTAATTTCCCCAGGTGGGAGTTGTCACTGTGTTCTCTGTGCTTCAACACTTGGCCCCAAGTGAAAGTTGCCCGTGATATATTCATGTTGGCATGTTCCTACCACCTACCACGACCTCCCGCCCGCTGCCGGAGGGAGTGAATGGTGAATGACTGCACAAACAGGCGAACTGTGGCACGTGGCGCTCCTAGTAGGAAGGGAATGAAGAGACTCACTCAGCAGGGATGGCTGTGGCCCAGGGACTGCCGGCCCAATGCCAGGGCCAGGGCCATACCTATCTCTCGTGTGTTTCCAGGGGCCAGGATTCCACTCTGGTCCCTCATGTCCCCCATTCACAGCCCACCTCCCCCCTGTAGGTGTCAGCCACCGATGAAGACGGACCCCTCAATAGTGCCATCACCTACAGCCTGGTAGGCGGGAACCAGCTGGGACACTTCTCTGTCCACCCCAAAACCGGGGCACTGCAAGTGGCCAAGGCCCTGGATTGGGAACAGGTGAGTCATGGGGAGTGGCCCCAACTCACCTCACCAGAGCACAGAGATGCCACACTGCTCTGTCGTCATCATATGACAATGATAGCCACTATGTACTTAGCACTTGCTCTGTGACAGAGCAATGATTTACATGCATTATCCCACTTGACTCTGAAATCAGTCCTAAGCAATAAGCTGCTATCCTCAGAGAGGCCTAGACACTGGTCCATGGTCACACAGCTACTAAGTAGCTGACTTAGAAATCAATTCTATTTCTGTCTGACTCAGAACCCGAGCCCTATAATAACAGGGGTGGGCAACAGGGATGGGCACAGAGTACTGTCTCAAAGACATTAGATATAAGGCAGGGGTTAGTACTGAGGGCCTCACTGCTAACCCTCTACTGGGCATCTCTGGACAGACTTCCAGCTACTCTCTGACACTCCGAGCCACAGACAGCGGGCAGCCCCCACTCCACGGGGACATAGACATCGATGTCCAAGTGGTTGATGTCAACGATAATTCCCCTAGATTCTTCCAGCTCAACTACAGCACCACTGTCCAGGTAAGGACGAACTTCCAGATACGCCCTGAGGCGTATCCTTTCCTCCCTTTCCTTCCAGTGGTATCGACAAATCCACCTTGCCCACTGATGGCCCCAAAGGCAACACACCCTGCTGAAGGGAATTGTGGGCTATGGGTTGTCTAAACAATCAGGCATCATGCTATGCATCTTCCGTAGCCATTGTCTTATTCCAGGCTGACAACAACCATGCGAAGTAGATAGTACCCAGCTTCCAGATTCATGTAATGGAGGCACAGAAAAGTGCCATGTCTAGCATGTGGCAAACGTGGAAGGAAATCCCAGGGGCTTTCCAGATCCCAAGCTCTTTCCACCACACAGTGGTGGGTGAGAGCTTTTGGGAGAGAGCCCTGGGAGTCGATGGGGAATTGTCAGGAATGGTAGAAGGTGAGGGAGATAAAGAAGTGGATAGCAAGCTGAGTCCTGGGCCCAGCTTCAGCTACGGCTGCTCTGCTTTGACCTGTCGTATATAGTAGGGGTCTGAAGAAAGATGCTTTGGCTGCAAAAAACAGAATACTGGACTAGAAGTACATTGATTTATACAGATGTATTATTTCCCCTAGCAAGACGGCTGGTGATGGGCAGTCCCATTCCAGAGTTGGTGGTTTCGGCAGGAAAGTGGTGCCAGGGCTCTGGGTCATCCTCCCCGGAGCTCCCCCCGCCTTCTCCTTCAGGTTGCAAGGTGGCTGCTGCAGCTTCAAGCGTCCCCTCCTTTTCACACCTTGTCACAGGCAACCAGAAAGGGATTCTCTGGCATCACCCATTTGCTTTAGGACTGTGATGAGGACAGTTGGGGGCAGAAGAACCTAACACGTGATAAAGAACAGTTGTCAATCAATGGAAAAATCACACGCTACTCAGTTTGATGAAAGGCCAGTCACAACCACACATGACATCAGAAATGACCATAAGTAGTCGATAAAGAGTTGAGCTTCAGAACGACGCTGTCTTGAATAGACTCAGCAAAAACGTAGCTTAATACATAGCTGAACATCAATACGGGGAGGATCTTCCTAGGCATAAAGGCAACGCAACAAAAATATAAAGGAAAAATGTTGATCCGATTACATAAAACGATCTAATATTTGTGTGAATGAAATCAGCATAAGATTTTGGAACGATTAAAATAGATCCCCACGATCACCCAGGCCACAGGGCAGCTATGGTCCCTGCCTTTATCTGAGGTGGGTTACTGTGAGACGGCGTGAAGGAAATGTGCAACCTCCTCTAGCTGCACAAGGGGGCAGGGGGGACAATCAGCATCAGCGTCAGCCCAAGGCTGGTCCCTCTAAAGTTCAAGGCAAACATGCCTCCACCCACCAACCCTCTTGCCAGTGCTGATACGAATCACCTCTCCCATGTACGCCTCTGCTCAGGTCCATGATTCTCTGTAATGGCCACACGGACCTCACAGGCAATACTCACAGCCATGAGGTTTACTAGAAAGTAACAGGTCACCATTCAGGATCAGAAATGCTTGGAATCCAGTTCTTGAATCAGGACGGCCTCCATTCAGCCAGGCCCACAGATACACCTCTCTCCAGCATTGGGCCTCTCAGCCACGATGAACCTGTTAGAGAAAGTGCTACCAAGTTCTTTTAGTTCTGTTGATTATGTGCGCTGAAGCACCCTGCTCTGCCAGTAAGCTTCAGCCCAAAGACATTCAGCCCTAACTCCATGGGCCAACAAACCTAGCTCCCTAGACAAGTGCTCAGAAGCACGCCACTCTGCCAGCAAGCTTGCTGTCTGAAGACATCCAGCTTTTTCTCTCTGAGGGTCAGGAAGCCCATTGCTGTTTCCTGCAGCCTTCTGGTTCCGCTTCTTGCCATTTCCTACTATCTATCTCTGGATTCAAGGAGTTCAGTGCAGGTATCTTGGGTCCAAAAGACATGCTCTACTCCTTCTTGATCGTAGTGAGGGCCTCCTTTCTGTCTCTGAAATGGCTCATTTTAGGTCTAGTGGCATGGCACAACTGGCCAATTGCACTGTTAGGGCTCCATATACCTTATTTACATGGTCTCACCTATTGAAGGTGTCATACATGCTATTTTTTAAAATCATTTTACTTTATTGTACAACTCTTATCACAATCCATACATACATCCATTGCACGCACATTATTAATAGTGCTAGCAAGCTAACCATTCCCTTTTATGGGCCACAAACACCTCATATTTACATTGTTCTATCCAGTGACTTAGTAGGAGTTAGAAAGACTATAGCCAGAGGGGCCATATCAAGTGATGCCTTGCCCTGCAGTTAATACTGATACAGGGGAAGAGAGGCTGGGGTCGGGGGGTCCTGGTATGCAGACCTGATTGTCATCGGCCATGTACATAGATATGGCCGTTTCCATGATTCAGATGCTGTTCTATAGGCTCTGTTGCACGGAACCTCATCCTACTCACTGAAGAATCACTTTGATCAAAGAAGGGTTCTTTTTAGAACCTCCACCTGGTAGACTTCTCCAGGTTACAAATTGAGACCCTGCCCTGCTCTCTTAGCTACCTAGTGCTGCCGTAACAGAAAGGCAACCCCTAAGTGGGTGGCTTTCAGAAACAGGGATTTCTTTTTCATGCTCTGGAGGCTCAAAGCCCACACGAAGGTGTCGAGTGTCCGGAGTGTGCTGGCAACGCTTGCACGCCTTTGCTTGAACAGGCCCTCGCCTGGCGTCGTCTCCCCTTGGTGTGTGGGGATGTCTGTGTCTTATCTGCTCTTCTCGAAGATACCACTCAGAAGGGATTAAAGTGAGCCATCCCCTATTCTGGTATGATGTCATCAGCATACCCCCCCCCCCTAATTCCAAGCAGGGTCCCCTGTTCAGATGCAGGGGCTAGGGCTCTCGCATATCTTCGTTGTTGTTATTGTGGTTGTTAGGTGCCGTGGCGTCTGTCCCGGCACAGAGTGACCCTGTGAACAACGGAAGGAAGCACTGCCCGGTCGGCCCCATCCTCACCACTGGTCTTAGTTCACGCGCGTGGTTGCAGCCACTGTGCCGGTCAATCTTGTTGAGGGTCCTCCTCTTTCCTTTCTTTCTTTCATTTGAAACACTGTTTCATTAAGAGACCAGATTGCAAAAGCAATGATGACAGACCCCTTCGTTCATCCTTCTAATCAACCTGTCGCTCTGGTCTTCCCTGTGCCCGCATCTCTACCGTCTACGAAATGGGTGACCTTTTTCTTCATTCCGCCTCGTGGAGAAGATCATTTAAAGGGCCACAGAAAGTTATTTGCTTCTTTGAAGCGTTTCCCAACAGTGCAGCTCTCATGAATCCGATCCTCCATGCAGATGGGGTCATATTGACCAAGAGAGCGTGCAGTCGGAGCGTTATCTGTCAGGGCCATGCGCTTCTTACTGATTTTGCCATCACCACGCTTGTGCATGAGTTCATTCGCCGACTTTAGGGTTGGGTATGGTTGGGTATAGGTATGTGCAACGTATGGTTCCACAATCCCCAGCATGTTCATTGAAGTCTTGTTCAGCTTTACACGGGTGCCGGTGACAATCTGGCGAAGGCGAAGAAGCTGCAACACTTTTCGAACCTTTGGGATCACACCACTGACACCTCTGACCCTGAGAACAGATGCCAGCGAGGGCTCTCTGGTCACATAGAAGTTGCCAGCTTTTCCTGCCATCCGAGCCATTCGGATTTCAGTTCTGCCCATCTGCCCACCTTCCTTGTGATGGTGCTTGGCTTTCCCATAGATAAGCGTCCTCCTTGCCTGTAGAAGCATCTTTTGGGCAAACTTCTTTCTCAGGCATTTGATCTTTAGTTCTGTGAAAGCCCTTCGCTTTTTCGTAAGGGTCTATGCGACAGCAGGGGCCTTCTTCTCCTCCTCCAAGACACCCTCCATGATTCCAGCTGCTTCAAAAAAAGAAGGCAGGCCTTCCTCTTTTCAACACCCCTCAACTGCCCTTTATGTATCTTTGGAAGACTCATTTCCAGCCATAACACATGCTCATCCTTAAGCCACAAACTGGCACAAGGAGCTCAGTGATGAAAACTGACCGAGAGCCAGCGTAGTCCATCTGTCACAGGAGGCCACACCTGCTCTGAGAGTGTCCCTCTCACCCTTGGGCAAAGGCAGGGTTTGCAGGAAAGGAGGATGGCCACTGGATAGAGAACGATTTATGTCTGGCCATGTGATTCAGTGTGTGGATAAAAATTGGATGCTTGAAAGAGTTTAGCATTGTCGTGGAGTAACTGGAACCCCCACATTACAGGACAAACACGGAAATGATCCTGGGGGGAGTCTGGTTTTCTGAATGGAACCCGGATTGTTTGAACATGTGTCACATTGGTCCTCTTTGTAGGAAGCTATTTCTAGGTGTGCGATTGACCCCACAAATCACAAAATCCCCACATGAGCCCCCAAACCAAACACCAACCTAGTCACCATCTTGTCAGTTCTGACACAGTGACCCCATCGGTGCAGAGTGGAATGTCACTCCATATGGTCTGGGCAGCTATGACCCATCAGAAGCAGGTCACCAGCCCTTTCTCCCATGGTGCCTCTGGGCAGATGACCTGATTGTGTCCCCCAGGCACTACCTAGCTTCTGTACAGGAACTGTCCACTGTGTGACCTTGGGCAAGCCACCACTGTGCAATAAGTGGTAGAACCTTCTGGTCTCTCAGGGCCCTGCAAGCCCCAGCAGGCTGTGTTCCTAACACACCCCCACCCCTACTAGTGTAGAACTGACACAAGTCATCAATGAACTCAAAGTGAGTGTGAACCTGAGGTCCAAGCCCAGCTGGGGGGCAGTCGGAGGGCAGAGTGTCCGTCTGAGTGGAGGGGGCCCGGGAAGGTGTGAATAGAGCAGCCAGGACTCATTGCGCTATTTGGCTCCGCTCACTCCATCAGGAGAACTCCCCTGTTGGCAGCAAAATCCTGCAGCTGGTCCTCAGCGACCCAGACTCTCCAGAGAATGGCCCTCCCTTCTCCTTCCGGATCACCAAGGGGAACACGGGCTCGGCCTTCCACGTGACCCCAGAGGGGTGGCTGGTAACCACCGAGGGCCTGAGAAGAAGGCTGCAGGAACGGTTTGAGCTTCAGATCGAGGTGAGACAAGTGGGTGTGCCGGGAAAGGTGCGGCCAATGTGTCTGCGGTACGGACAGTGTTCTGTGAGGCACTTGCTGTGGGCCAGCTCCAGGCTACGTGCTCCCCATGCTCCCAAGAACGGACAGAGGCACGTATCTCTAAACCCAAGTGCCCTGACCGAATCCCAGTGTTTCAGCCCCACACTGCACCCCAGCAGCATGCCCACGCTCCACCTGGACCTCCTGAGATTGGTCAAGACAGGAACCTCCCCGGCTCGCAAGACCTTCCTCACAGAATTCTATAGGTCCCAAGTGAGAGCATGCTGATGCGTGTGTGGGGTTACAGGGCAAAGACGGGGCTTTCTACTCTTGTCAGGACGATTCTATCCTGTCCTATAGGGTTGCTGAGTTGGCATCCACCCAATGGTGGTGAGTGGGGTTATGGTGGTGGTTGTAGGATTGCCCCAAGGAACACTGTATCCCTGTAGGACAGAGTAGAATGGTCTTGGGGGGGGGTGGGGTGAGGCTGTAGGACAGAGTAGAATGGTTTTGGGGTTGGGGGGTTGACGCTGTAAATCTTTACAAGAATAGAAAGCCTCATCTTTTCTCCCTTGGAGCAGCTGGTGGACTTGAACTGCTACCTTGCAGTCCCTAGCCCAACATGTAACCCACATGCCAGCCGGACTAGGCATAATACAGCACAGGACAAAGAGAAGATGGGCTTTTCTGGTCAAACATCTGATGAAAGAAACGCCATCTTTATAAATTATGAATGGAACTAAAATGAGAGCGTCGGACAGCACAGGGGCATGTATTCAGCCTCTTGTGGAGGTGACATCTGAGCTGAGGGCCACGGGGCCAGTCCTGGGAAAGGTGCACAGGAGAGTGTTCCGAGCAGAACGTTAGGAAAGCCCTGCCTCAGGAGAAGCGTGAGTGGCCTGCGACAATGCTCACAGGGTCAGAGCACAGTCAGGAGTAGTGGACAGATGCTGAGGCCTCCCGGCAAGGGTGACCACCTGACCACAGGACATGCCTGAGAATGCGAGATCCCCAGCATGTGAAGATGGAGACTGCCCTGGGTCAAGCTGACCATAACAAGCATGCCGTGGAGGGGATTCTGATTCATGGCGGCCCTATAGGGCAGGTAGAACTGCCCCCTGTGGGTTTCCAAAGCGGTAGCTGCTTACGGAAGTAGAAAGCCTCCGCTTTCTCCCGCGGAGCAGCCGGTGGTTTCATACTGCTGACCTTGCCATTAGCCATCCAGCAGATGACCCACGATGCCACCAGGGCTCCCTAACCTCATTGCAAGCGTCATTAATACTCCTGGATCCCCAAAGTAACAAGACGTTGACAAGCATTCTCAAGCAGGAAAGCGACCACTCCCGTGTCCCAAGAGGCTCCTTTGTGGAAATTTACAGAGTTGAGGATGGCAGGAGTGGGTGAGGGAGACTATGACAAGCTCTCCCAGCTGGAGACAGAGCGGAAGGTGATGCGCGCGGATGGGAGCTGGTGACGGGGAGGGTGTGGGGAGGGAGGGCAAAGACAGGCCTCGGGGAAGACTGCCAGACCCCAGCTTCTATGAAGAGTAGGCGGTAGAGCCACGTGTGCAGCGGGGAAGACCCAGAGGAGGGAGTGAGGACAGCTGAGGGGTGAGATGAGGGCTTGGCTCTGCAAACGTTTGTTTCAGGTTTTCCAGGCCATCTCCGATTTAGGAGCGGTCTGCAGCTCAAAGGAGGTGCAGTTACTTTATTTCTTGGCATAATTTGTAAAGATGATGCCTAATCCATTCATAGTCAATCTGTCTTTCAAGAATTTATTGAGCCCCTGCCACTCTCTGGGTCCTATGCTAGCTGCCAAGGATGTAGCAGGGGACAAGAAGCCCGGGCTTTGAGGACCTTCTATATGGCTCCTCCCCTGGCATGGATACATTTGCCTCAGGAGAGACAAGAGCGAGTAGCATCCTGGCCTCTGTAGTCTCAGTCCAGGCATCGGGCCTGGCCCAGGCAGGCACTCAGCGATTACATCATCACTGCCTCTCATGGTTAGCCGAGTTTCCACCTCCATTCAGTCGGGGGCACTACAGACCAGCCAAAACCAAAGCAAACGAAAACCCCACTGGCTGTGAACACTGATCCCCGGGTGATAGCCAGAAGTTTGAAGCTGATAATCGAACATTTGAAGGTTTGAGCCCACCTGCAGGCACCCAGAAGAAAGGCCTGCCTATCAGCCAGTAAAATCCCCACTGAGCCTGGTGTCACTGTGACACACTCCGATGGAGGTCCCCGTGGGCCAGAATCATCATGAAGGCCACTGTGCACGCGTGTGTGTTTATGGCCATAGAGACAAGTTCCAGTTCTGCCCGGCTCTTACCTGTTACGTGCATTTGAGGCACTTAAAAAGGACTGGCACACCATTTGTTCTTGGTGGACGTCGGCTATGTGTCGTAACCAGCAGTGTGGATAGTTATTGGTATGACTGATATTTCATCGGAGGGACGCACGATTCCCTCCCATAGGTGCAATTCTGCAGTGTGCTCGCTCACTCAAAACACTGGGCGGCGTGTGGACACGTTTGATGATGGGCGGCCTGTTTGGGTTGCTCTCCCAAGGCAGGCCTAGGGGAACCCTGCTGACAACTGCGGGTGCAGCGAGCTCACCAAGGAGGGGAGGGGAGCACTGTCTTCCTGAACCCGGGCAGCCAGTTTCGAGATCCGTGGCCTCCAATCCCAGGAACTGAAATCGATGGGAGAGAAAGGCCTTTCTAGAAAACGTGTGCTCTTTCCCTAACTAAGGTTATGTCACGGCTTCGCTTGATTCCTTCAGTGTTTTCTCATGGCCTTGACATAAACCCAACCTTGCCTTCTCAACTGGCCATGGCCCACGCCCTCCTGACCCACCCAGCGAATCTCCTGCCCTCTGCCCTCCCCCACTCACTCCATCACTCAGTGAGCACCACAGACAAACAAAACCGTCAACAATAGTGTGATGTGGCACTTCCAAACTTTTTTTTTTTTAATAAGCACACCCTTGCCCACCCCAGGGCCCTTGTTTTGTGGTTCCCTCTGCCAGTCCCCCTTCTCAGCCTTCAGGACTCAGCTCCAACATCACCTGAGACAGCCTTCCGAAGACTGGGTCTAAATCCGGCTCTTCATTCTCAATCCCCGATTTTCTCCAGTGCACCTCCTTGGAGTCCGAGGCTCGTGATCTGGTAACTCATGTATTGTCTCTTCTTCTGAAGATGGCCACATCCCTAGTACCTAGCAAAGAGCTGCCCAAAGAAGGCACTCAAGAAATAGTGAAGACTAACCCCTCAATCCAGTCATGGCAAAGGGGAGTCCCAAGGAGACTCTTCTCAGGCCAGGTGGGCGTTGTGTACGGGACATGCTAAGAGATATCTGGTGCGGAAAGTGACCGGGTCAGGGGGAGGGAGCTGCAAGAGGGAGGAGGCCAGAGCCTGTGACTGGAGAGATGTAGGAAGGGGCTCAGAGAGAAGCCTCAAGAGGGGATGAGTCACACTTGACCTTCTCCATTGGGTTTTAGAAATCAACGGTGTACTTGAATTTGACTTCAACTTGGGCGAGTGGGTGAGGGGCAGAGATGCGGCTTCCTAAGGAGGCCCCGGAGTTTCTGAGTGGTACAGATGACTAAGCACCCAACCAATACCCAACCAGTTGGCGGTTCGGATTCACCCAGAGGTGCCTTAAAAGGCAGGTCTCTCAGTCAGCTTCCCAAAGTCTGGGTCGTTGAAAACGGTGGTGAACACAGTACACGATGGCCCACTTGATGGCCAGGAGCAACAAGAATGAGACCCATTTCCTGGGGGGCCAGAGAGGACTTAGTGTGCCTTGTGGGTAATGGTGGTGTTGGCGTTGTTCACAGGCATCAGACAGCGGCGTCCCTCCCCTCTCCTCTCTGACGTCTGTCAGCGTCTGGGTCACAGAACAAAGCCACTACCCACCCTCTGCCCTCCCACTGGACATCTTCATCAGCGTCGGGGAAGAGGAGTTCCCAGGAGGCCTGGTGGGGAAAATCCACGCCACAGACCAAGACCCCCAGGACACGCTCATCTACAGACTGGCAGGGGAAGAGACCCTGGGCAGGCATTTCTCAGTAGGGGCCCCTGATGGCAAGATCATTGCCACCCAGGGACTCCCCCATGGCCGCTACTCATTTAACGTCACTGTCAGCGATGGGACCTTTACCACCACTGCCGGGGTCCATGTCCATGTGTGGCATGCGGGGAGGGAGGCGCTGCAGCAGGCCGTGTGGATGGGCTTCCACCAGGTCAGCCCAGAGGAGCTGGTAAGCGACCACTGGCGGAACCTGCAGAGGTTCCTTAGCAACAAGCTTGACATCAGAAGAGCCCACATCCACCTGGCCAGCCTTCAGCCCGCAGAGGCCATGGCCGGTGTGGATGTGCTCCTGGTCTTTGAGGGGCACTCCGGAACCTTCTACAAGCTCCAGGACCTGGCATCCGTCATCACTCGCTCCGCCAAGGAGCTGGAGCACTCGGTGGGGATTCAGATGAGGTCAGCCATGCCCGTGGTGCCCTGCCAGGGGCCAAGCTGCCAGGGCCAGGGCTGCCAAGAGACAGTACACCTGGAGCCCAACGTGGGGCCCACCTACAGCACGGCCCGGCTCAGCATCCTGACCCCCCGGCACCACCTGAGGAAGAGCTGCTCCTGCAATGGTGAGGAGGGGGCCTTCCCCAGGGATGCAGCGGAGACTCGGGTGGGGGTCCCAGGGAGGGCCTCCAGGGTAGATAGAGGGTCGTGTTAACAAGGCCACAGGCTCACACTGGGCAGGGAATGGGCACATAACGTTTAGTCATGGAATAACATCCTATGCCTGACCACTTGGGGGGGAGTTTTGAAAATAAGAATACAAGAAGTGTTTTAGCATTGTGACAAAGAGTACAGCTAGACACTGGGATTGGACTTACTCCAAAACTCACTGCCATTGAATTGATTCTGACTCTTAGGGTCCCTCTAGAACTGCATCTTTGGGCCTCTGAGACTGTAAATCTTTAGAGAACCCCAAACCCTTGGAGTACCAGACAGGCTTGCATCCCTGGCTTTGTGGTCAGTAGCTCCGTGATAGTGGTGCCGTGGCGAGTAGCCCACTGCTGTGCCATGGCTCCCTGGCAGCAGGCATCTAAATTCTTCTGCTTAGTAGCCCCATGACTCTAGGAAAATCACTTAACTCTTCATGCCTGTGGGCTATTGAGGGGATTAAATCAATATACTATATGAAGTGCTTGCTTTGAACAGCACCAGACACATAGCAAGTGCTCAATAATTGTGAGCTGCCACTATTGCTAAGGTCAGCTAGGAGCACAAACAGTTAAGCACCAAAAAGGTTCACAGTTCAAATCTACTCAAAGTGCCTTGCAAGAAAGATCTGGAGAGCTGGTTCTGAAAAGTCAGTCATGGGAAGCCCCGTGGCACCCAGTTCTATTCTACACACATACATTGGAACCGATTCAATGGCACTGGTTTGGTTTTGGCCTCGGTACGGTTACTCATACTCTGATTACTATGATAGCTCAAGTTCAAATCCTTACACCTTCATTTACTAGATGGATACATTTTGGGTGGGTTATTCTGGTTTTCTGAGCTTTCGTGTCTAGTCTGGAAAACAGGGAGAATAACAGCATTTGCCTCCTGGTGTCAGTCAGTTAGTTAGTTAGTTAGTTAGTTAGTTAGTTAGTTAGTCAGTCAGTCAGTCAGTCAGTCAGTCAGTCAGTCAGTTAGTTAGTTAGTTAGTCAGTCAGTCAGTTGTCCTTGTTGTGGTTGTTGTTGTCAAGTGCTGTTGAGTCGGTTCTGACTCATGGCCACGCTCTGTGCACAACAGAAGGAAACATTGCCCAGCGCTGTGCCAGCCTCACAATTGCTCTTCTGGGTGAGCCCGTTGACGCAGCCACTGTGTCAATCCAACTCCCGAGAGCCTTCCTCTTTCTCAGTGCCCCTCGACTTTGCCAAGCAGGATGCCTTTCACCAAGGACTGGTCTCCTCTGGCAGCTTGTCGAAAGTATATGAGACCAAGTCTCACCGCCCTCACTTCTAAGGAGCATGCTGGCTGTGATTCCTCCAAGACAGATTCGTTTGTTCTTGGGAAAGTAAATGACATCCTGGGTAGGAAAACCTGAAGTCTGGTGCTCAACAGTGAAGAGCCCAGCTGCTGACTTAAAGGGAGGTGGCTCAAGGCCCACTCACTTGGTGGCTCTGCTGTGTGCTGGAGGAGCACAGCGTGGCCGAGAAACCCTAAAGAACAGCTCTACTCCGCCCCTGGGGTTCCTAAGAGTCAACATCAACTTGACAGCACCCAGCACCACCACCACCCATGCCTGGTCCATAATTACCACCAACCAGTGGTGGCCGCCATTCACTTGCTAGCCGAGGTTGCCATCCCACCTGCCAGGCCCTGGGCCTCTGTTTTCTACACCAGCCCGCACTCATCCCCCACACTTATCCTGTCCACTGAAGATAACAGAGCAGACCCATTCCCACGTGGGATCATAATGAAAGGATTTAGGGTCTACAACATGCCTTTTGGAGGGGACACAGTTCTGTCCTGACATTGAAGTGTAGCGATGGCGTTGGGTTGACTGAAATGCTACAGTCTTTAATAAAACCACACTCTCTGCCGTCATGTTGATTCTGACTCAGAGTGACCCTACAGGACAGGGTAGAACTGCCCCGGTGGGTTTCTGAGGCTGTAACTCTCTATCGGAGTAGAAGACCGTCTCTTTCTTCCTCAGAGTGGCTGGTGGTTTTGAACTGCTGACCTTTTGGTGAGCAGCCCAGAGCATAACCACTACGCCATCAGGGCTCCTGCCTTTAATGAAGAGCTGGCTCAATCCTGGCAGACTCCACCCTACAGCCTGAGCTCTTCCCCACACTGCTCTGGAGCATGGTGTCTGAGAAGGCTCAGCCCCATGACCCAGACCTTAAGATCACTGCCCTGGATGAGCTCGAGAGCATTGGCAAAAGGAAAACGCGGCCTTCCGCTCACCTTCATCCCTGCTGGGCTTGTCCTTTATGGGTCTACCCAGTTACGTTCACTTGCTTCAAAACATGCACATATGTAAACTCTTCTCCAACACTACCTCTTTCTTCTTCAAATGATGCCAGAAATAACTTAGAAGCCATGTAAGGTAAAAACTTGGCTCTCCACACTTGCTGTTCCAACTTGGATATGCTTGATGGCATTTCTGACTCGATTCCCATGTGTTGCATTGTTTGTGCTCCTAGTTCCGGACCCAGTCTCGGGTCCCATGCAAAGGTCCTGGTGGCCACAGGACAGGGTCCAGAGTAGTGGCCCCCATCTAGCCGTGTCACCCTAGACAAGAAATCCCCTAGCCGAGGCTCTGTGTCTATGACGTGTGAGCCATACTATGAAGCTGGCTCCGTGTACTCTGCAGGGACCAATTGACACAGAGGTGACACCTGTTGCTGCTTTTGCAGGGACTGCAGTGCAGTTCAGCGGTCAGAGCTACGTGCGGTACCTCCTCCCTGAGACCCAGAACTGGCACGTCCACTTCCGTCTGAAAACCCTGCAGCCACAGGCCACCATGCTGCTCGCCAATAGGAGTGTGTCCGTCTCCCTGAGGGTAAGGTTCTGCTGGCCTGAGCGAGTCCTTGTGGGCTGCCAGGCTCCGAGGGGGTGCATGTGTGCGTGCGTGGGTGGGTGGGTAGGTGGGTCAGAGGAGTCTTTGCTTCCCAGGTCAGCTGTGAGATAACTACCTCAGGGAGTGGCTTTAAAGAGCAGACATTTATGTTCTAGGGTTGGAAGTCTGAATTTGGAGCCCGAGCTCTAGGGGAAGTCTCCCTCTCGGTTGGTTCTGGCCACAGACTCTTGTCTCTTGCAGCAATCCCTGGTTGCTTCCTGTGTTCGGCCAGGCTGTCTAAAGAAACAGAGCCAGTGACACTCCTATAAGAAAGAGTTTTCTATCTAGAAGGGATCTGACTTCAAGGAAGCATCCCAGCCCAGTCCAACTGAAGCCCATGGGTCTGATGCTGGCCAGGGCCCTCCGCAGACAGACCCACTTAGCTTCACACAGAAAGATGAAGCAGGAAGCAGGGAGACCAGACTGGTGGGTGCGGTGGAAGCATGGCAGGGCTCCAACAGCTCTCAGGGCCGGGCAGCCCACAAGGGGCCGCCCCTGGATGCAGGCATAGAGACCCAGCAGGCGGAGAGAGCATTTCCCAGTGTCTCTCTCCCTCTTATACAAAAGGCTCCACACACACACCCCACCTTAAGAAGGTGTCATCAGGCTACCACTTGATTGACAGGTTGAGTGCCACCCCTACCTCTACCCAGGCACTATCCAGTTGACATCAAATCTAACTGCCCCACTCAGCCAGCTTTGTCAGCCTCTAGCTGTACCCCGTGTGTGCGCGCGTCTCGGCATCTGCTCTGCTTTTTAGACCACAGACGTGTTCGGTCTAGGACATACCCTACCCAGATAAGGGCCCTATTAAGATCACAGAAGCACTCTACCTTCCCAAATGGAAGCCCCAGGTTAGGATTCTAAAACCTATTTGGGGGCCCATGATTCCATCCATAATGGGGCTGGGGTGGGAGGGGGGGGCTGCCTGGTGGATAATTAAGTAGGGCTGACAGGCAAAGCAATCTGCTTGGTTTCGGGGGATGTTGGGTGTGATGACTGAGCCAAGGGACAGGACGTTCCTGTCCTAGACCACCACAGCCACGCCACCTGAAGACACAGGTTGAGTGGACAGGCACAGGCCAGGCTGCTCCCCGGCATAAGAGAGCCTCGGAAAACAGAAGCCAAGATGGATGAGGCTGCTTCGCACTCGGGCTCTACCATGCTGGCCGACCTGTGCTCCCAAAGCGGGAGTGCCGGCTGGCTGCCGGGGTGCTGGCGATGACAGACCCAGCACGGAGTCGCAGGGAAGAAAAAGGAATTTCCTGCCCACAGTCTCAGGCCTTTGGATATCTCATAGAGAGAGCTGTTGTCTTCTTGCTTGGTTTGAAGACCAGGCAACCACGGATGCCAATCTCTCATTTTAGCCAGGAGAAAGGCGACTTTGACAGCTGGTTAGAATTTAATTCAGTCAACAAATGGAGAGTTTGCAGAGCATGTATCTTCACACACGTCATGAAGGCTGGAGAGAGAAGAGCCACTACACATATGGTTACATATTTATATGTATGCGTATATATACATTTGTATTTTATATTTATGTGTGTGTATATATATATATATGTATTTGTTGACTGAAATACATATATATATATATATGTATTTGTTGACTGAAATACATGCATTGAGCACCTCGATGATGCCAGCTTTGTTCTAGGTGCTTGGGTCTCAGCATCAAAAAACACAAAAATCCTTCTTAGAACTTCCATTGTCTGACAATAAACACAAGTCGGAGAGTCACGCGGTTTGTTCAGAAGTGGGTTTTTCTTTTCAGTTGGTTGATGGAATGCTCCAGCTGGAGTATCGCTGCCCAGGTGGTTTCCATGGTAACCTGTCCTCCCGGAGCCACGTGAATGACCAGGTGTGGCACTCGGTTCTGCTGGAGAAGACGCCCACCTCCGCTCGCCTGTGGGTGGACGGCACGGGCAGCGACTCCCTGGAGCTCCCAGAGGACTGCCAGGGCCTGGGGCCTAGAAGAGACCTCTTGCTCGGTGGCCTGGTTCCCTCGCTTTCTTCCCCAAACGTCTCCCAGGGCTTTGAGGGCTGCCTGGATGCCATTGTGATCAACAGAGAGGCTCTGGAGCTGCTGGTCCACGGCAGGAAGGTGGCCCGAGTGCTGGAGGTGCAGGCCCTCACCCAGTGCTGCCCACTCAGGGATGACTGCAGCCAGGACCCGTGCCTCCACGGTGGGAAGTGCTTCCAGACCCACAAAGCCGGTAAGGGCGGGGCGGGGCGGGGCCTAGAGGCTCCTCTAGGGACTCTGTCTTGGACAGCCCTGCAGAGTTTACAACGCATGCTCCTGCACTCGCCCCATGAGAACAGGGGAGGGGAGAGCCACAGAGCTCCATTTAGGTGCCCAGGATGCTGGGCTGTGTGAGTGAGGCCCAGGCAGTGTCCAAGGTCATTCGGCTTGTTCTGAGGACTCCTGACTCCAAAATCTCTGGTCCCCTGCCCCTTACCATCTTGTTGATAAAGGGTTGGGATCTGCTAAGGCTCCACCAGGGGTGCCAGCTGAAAATTCTCCATCTGAATTTTCTGTCAGATTTTGGGTGGAGGTGGGGCACAAATGGGGGCCCCAGGCATAGAACTGAGTTCATCCCACACTTTGCTGTCCTCATCGCTGCATGGGAAACCTCCTATTCCCCTTTCATCTACACCCCATCCCAGTCCCTACTCCAAGCCCATAGGCAAAGGATGGCAGTTTTTCAGTGAGTTCTTGTGACATGGATCTTAGCACTTGCTCAAGGATCGACTTCATGTTCAAGTTGGCCATGCAGAGGTTAAGCTCCAGCTGGGAGCTGAAGGGTAGGCAGTTGAAACTCATCTAGCAGCACTTCACCTGGTGATCTGCTCCCATAAAGATTAAACCAAACCAAACTAAACCCACTGCCATGGCGTCCATGCCAACTCAGCGATCATGTGGCATGCCTAGCAGTGACATGGGCAGTCCTAGTCTCTTACCGGGTCAGTGAGCCAAAATCCACTCAGCAGCACCTACCACCACCAGCATTGGGCATATTCTATTTTATACACGCACTCAACCACTTCTTTTTAGCACGCATTCACCCTGCCATGAAAGCTGTACTCACCGAGTTTCATCCGTGCTCCATGCCTTGTCTACTCCCACATTTTTCTTCTCCGTTCTACCAAAGAATCCCCAGGCTTTGAACTCCCACCTCCAACACCAATGTGATGGAGTGAACATCTTCCTACCTGTCCCCTTATGAGCATGAGTGAGGATTTCTACACACACACACACACACACACACACCCCATGATGCCAGAAGGGCCCTTCAGTCTGGGGTTTCCTACCTGCCCAGCCTGTGTCTTCTCACCTTCCATCTCTTCCTCTTAGGCTATGTCTGTGAGTGCCCCGCACAGTTCACTGGGAAGCACTGTGAACGACGAAGGGAGAACTGCACATCCACATCCTCAGAAGGCGCTTCCTGCAGCTGCCCTTCCCCTGGTAGTGGACACAGGTGAGCAGAGGAGAGGCCACTTACCATCGGCTCCTTGCCCAGGGTTTGGCACCATTAAGGAATGGCTGGTGTGCTTTGGTCGGTAACGCCAATGGAGACCAGAGGATGGTGCTCCAGCAACCTGGGCTCGAGAGATGGCTTCTGGAATGCTACACCTGGACTGCCACAGAGCTCAGACCTTTTCTCTGAGAACGTTATCCAATGTGAGGCAACGGATCAGTGTGGGGCCATGTCGGGTTCCCGTAATCTATTTATGAAGACTAGTGGGTACCAATCATGCTAGGTGCCATTCCTGGGTACCTGGACCCTGGCATGCTTGTTTCCCCTTTGGTTAATTCTGTTCTTGCAGTTAACTTCTTCGTGTGACTTAGATGAAGGTTGGTGAGCAGAGTAGAGCTTTACATTCCACAATGGATAGCACTCTGATCCGCTCACCCACTGCAGTCCCCTCAGTGCACCCTTGCTTATCCCCCCGCCCCATTTTTCCGCTTGGCAGTTCTCCTTCTAGGCTAACCTCTAAATTTTTTCCTTGGGTAGATGCTTCCCTTTGATCTTAAATAGCTGGTTATTCTAAGCCTGAGGTGACTTTTGTTCCAGACCTGAAGGGTAAGGGCCTTAGTCTTGGGGGTCCCACAAATCTCTGTCTAATAACCTTGATCTCTTCTATGAGTTTGATTTCTTTTCCATGGTTTTCTCTCATGCTACCAAAGATCTTCTAATGTGATCCTATTCAGAGCAGTTGGTAGAAGTCGCTGGGCACCATCGACCTCATCTGGGCTCAGGGTTGGAGAGTGTGCTGAAGTTGATATGTCACTGGTTTTTGTAATCATTATCCTTTTCTCTTGGAACGTGGAGAGGAGAAAACTGGAGGGCAGGGGTCTCGGTGGCATAGGTCTTTGCAAAGGAGGACATGACTGGGCAGTACCATGACTCGGTCTCTGATGTCTCCTTCTTGTCTTCAGGTGCGAAATGGAAGCCAGAGGTTGCTTGGAAGGACACTGCCTGGTCACTCCTGAGATAACAAAGGGGGCCTGGGGGCAGCAGGAGCTACTGATCATCATTGTGGCAGTACTGGTCATCTTTTCCATTGTGGTCACCGTTGGGCTCCTTCTCTACTGCCGCCGTTGCAAGTCCCACAAGCCTGTGGCCATAGAGGACCCAGACCTGCTGGCCAGGAGCATTGGTGTTGATACCCAAACCATGCCGGCCTTGGAGCTTGACCCCCTGAGCACTAGCTCCTGCAACAACCTGAACCCCACAGAGCCCAGCAAGACTTCAGTCCCAAATGAACTTGTTACCTTTGGACCCAGCGCTAAGCAGCGGCCAATGGTCTGCAGCGTGCCTCCTAGACTCCCACCTGCTACGGCCCCTTCTAGCTCAGACAATGAAGCCATCATCAAGAGCACCTGGTCAGGTGAGGAAATAGGTCAGTATGGTCAGAATCCCTTAGCCTCGGGGTTGATGGAGGGGGACATGGAGACCCAAATGCTCCATTATCTGAGGCTCAGAGGCTTTCGCCCACCATCCTGTCTGGCCCCTGGGGATGAGATAGGATGGGGCATGTTCAAAACCACAGTGCTTGAATGGTTGGGTTAACCACCAGGACTCTGGCCTCAGCCTCTGGGCTCCTTCCAGCCTCACCGTGGCCCTGTCCTCTAGATTCCAGGCCATCCCACAGGGCTCGTGCCTAGGGACGAAACAAACCTATGGACCCTGGTGTGGGTGGGTGGGATCTGGAGTGAAGATGGGGCTTCCATCCATGCTTTTCTGGGAAGGAAGAAAAGAGACTGACCACTGGGCATTTTGCTTCATTCCCATCTTTGACTCCGACAGAAGTGAATTTGTAAAGCACTATCTTTTCTGGCTGATTTGTCCACAGGTCAACTGGGTGTTTTCACACTTTTCTTTAGAGAGAGGGCGAGTGTAACAGGGCCCATAACCGTGAAACAAATGGTGCAGCACAGCCAACGATTGGGTCGCAGGGCAGAGCTAGGACCAAGGCCTCTTGGTCTTCTGACTTCCAGGCCTGGTGGCCTCCGAACCCCTCTGTATAGACTCCATCCACCTCCTATTGATGACTGTGTGTCTGACCCCTTCCTCTCTGGAGGGCGCTCCCACCGCCAGCAGTGGGAATCGACTGCCACTTACATCCGTCCCTTGATCACTGGCACATGGATCCGAGTCACAGATTAGCAAGACGGCTTGGAGCTAGACCTCTGGCCTTGAATCACCCAGCTGGGCCACCTGAGGCCATACACAGGGACGGGCGCCTCTGCCTCCCCACTCCTTTGACTGTCCCCTTGCCCCGCTGGGAAACCGGTATCAGTAGAGACCTCACCAGGGAAACGCGAGGCTTACCCTAATGCGGTCTCTTTCAGAGTACCCCGGCGGAACTGCGGTTTGGCCCCCGACTTCCTCCAGGACAGAACGCTGGGAGCACCCCCACTCGGAGATGACCCAGAGCCTGGGGCCAGCCCCTCATTTCCACGCGTCCCAGACCACGATGCCAGAGCCCACTGCCCTCTATGGGGGCTTCCCCTTTCCTCTGGGGCTGGAAAACAAGCGGGCCCCCCTCCCGCCCCGTTACAGCAACCAGAACCTGGAAGATCTGATGCCCCCGCGGGCTCCCAGCCCCCAGGAGCACCTGCTGGACCCCTGTCTCAATGAGTACACAGCCATCAGCTACTACCACTCCCAGTTCCGGCAGGAAGGGGGAGGGCACAGCCTGGCCGAAGCGGGCTACAAGGGGGTGAGCATGCGGCTCAGCCGTGCTGGGCCCTCTTATGCGGACTGCGAGCTGGCGGGTGGGCCTCTCGCTGGCCACGGCCAGCCCCGGGCACCCCCGCACTACGAGGGCTCTGATATGGTGGAGAGCGATTACGGGAGCTGTGAAGAGGTCATGTTCTAGCTCCCGGGTTCTCCGCTGTAGGCGGGGAGCCTCCACGGCCTTGGGTGCCGCAGCACTGGGAGAGAGGGAGGGAAGCCCCCAGACTCAGTGCAGGCTGCCAGCCTTGATATGTGCTCTCCGGGTCCCCAGCCAGTCCTGAAGGTGTCGGGAAGCTGACAGACAGCTTCACAGACAGCACGAGGGTCCCCAGGAGGGGAGGATGCACCGAGCAGCAGCAGCCCCGGGAAAGCTGCGTGGGTCTCGGTCATGGGATTGATGGCCATCTCTCAGTCCCCAGGGACAGCGGGCCGAGCCCCTGGGGCTGGGCCAGCTCTTGGGGGATGTGTCCTGAGGCAGGCTTAGGCTGTGTCTGACATACGACCACCACACCAGCTATGAGAGGTGTGCTCTGCGGTCTTCTGTCCTTTGAGGGGCGCAGGGGTCCTCTAGGATCTGAGAGGTGATCCACGGTAAGTGGGTACCAAACGTAGTCCATGCAACGTGACGTCTGTGCATGGTCACGTTCAAGTGCCTGCTCCACGTCAGGAGCAGGCGGGACACTGAGATACGAGGAAGAACCAGAGGCCAGAGGCCCCCCGTGAAGCGTCCCAGCGGCCCGCAGCGACCCCCCCAGATTGCAGGGAGCCTGCATGACCTGTGCAAGTCACATGGCTGTTCATTGATGGCCGGCGCCCCGCCAGGGCCTTCTCTGTGGAAGAATCAGACCTCGTGGGACTCTGGGCTCTTCGGCACGAGTTTCCCAGGCACTGTGGGCCAAAGGCAAGAAGGAACTAGTTCTTCCTCCGAAACTGAGAGGCACTTTTCAGCCTTGTTGTCTGGATGAGTTTCCCTGGAGGGACATTTCTTCCCTAGACACAAGGAACTCCCCGACTTCCCACTCGGGGCAGGGGCGAGGCCAAGAGCTGGATACTCACGTGTCCAGTGGACCACCCTGCCCTCGCCCATCCCTCCACCCCAGATGGCTGCCAAACCAAGCGTTACCTGCAGTGACTCAGCCCTATGCATGGAGGGTCAGTGTGGGCAGGCGTCTACATACGTGCGCATGTGTGTACAGTAAATGTGTGCACCTGTGTGGACTGTATGTAGCCAGGAGTGGTGGGGACCAGAGCCCCTCCACCCGCCCGCTTGCGTCGCCTCATCTCTCCCTCCCCGCCATCCTTCCCTCCTCCGGTCCACTTCCGTTTCACGTGTGCTGTTTCTGGAGCCAGAGCCAGAAGGAAGAGCAACAGGACTTCCGTCCACAGACAGACAGACAGACAGAGTGACTGGGTGTGGGTGGGAGACCTAGTGGATGAATGGGTCACGGCTGTGTGTGTGTGTCCATGAGCGTGAGTGATGGAATGCCTCGATGCGTTGGCTGTCTTTTTTTTTTAACAATAAAATATATTTTTTACTGTTATTTTCATTGTCACTTAGCCTGTGTTTTGGGAGGGCAGGGGGTTGGGCCCAAGGGAGGGGAGCAAAGTCTAGGGACACCTTCAAGCAAAGACTCGGGAATCTGGAAGTCGGAAGGAACGCTGGAGATCACAGAAAACAGGAAAGCCCTAACCTGGCAGTGCTTCGGCGACACTGGCCATGTGGCAGGTGTCTGAGCCCCTGCGCTGGTAGTGCGCCGGTTAAAGTGCTTTGCCGTGAACCAAAAGGCCAGCGGTTTGAACCCACCAGTGGCTCCGCAGGAGACAAATGAGGCAGTGAGCTTCTGTACAGATGCCCAACGGTGAGAGCCTGGGGGGAGGCGGGGAGCCAGGTGCTCTCTGTCCTGCAGGGTTGCTGCCTGAGTGGGGCTTGACGCAGCAGCACCCTTAGCCCCTGACAATGCAAGGGCAGCAAAGCACCTTCCTGCCATTGAGTTGGCTCCGATTCATGGAGGCTTTCGAGGTGGAGTGAGCAGTGGTGTAGTGGGCTGCTAACCACAAGGTCTACCGTTCTAAACCACAGGCCGATCCATAGGAGAACGTTGAGGCTTTCTGCTCCCACAAAGATTTACAGTCTCAGAAACCACAGGGGCCGTTATTCCCTGTGCTGTGGGGTCGCTGTGAGTCGGTAGCTGTGCATTTCAATGACCGTGAGGAGTTCACGGCAGTCAGCAAGAAGTGGGGGCCTCTCAGCGAGATGGACTGATGTCGAAGCCACAAGGGACCCACACTTACCAATGGGCCGTGATGATGGTGCAGGGCCAGCCACTCGTTATTCATACGGTCGTCATCGGTCAGCGCCACCTGCAGGGAGCTAACTGCAACAGCATGTCCTCTAACACCTGAAAACGCCCAACTATCGGATTAAAATGACTGCCCGGGGAATGGGGTGGCCAAATCCTCTTTGGGAAACACTGGTCTAGCCCATTCCCCTAGTTCCTGATGTCCCCTACTCCAGAGAAGGGATTTGTGGTCACACACATAGACTATCACAGAGGTTAAGACACAAATGCAAGGCTGACACCCAGCCTGGCAGTCTCCCTGCGCCCTTTATTTTCCTGAATGTGGGAGAATCTCTCCACACCCGCTCCCTCCTTTGTTCTACTGGCCTGCAGTTTCAGGGATGACCACCAGAGGGCTCTCTAAGATCAAGACCCAGCCTACTGAGGGGTGACGGGGGTGGGGGGGTGGGGGTGGCGTGGGGGGAATACCACAAGGACTTTCAGCTAACTGCTCCCATCCTAGGTCATCAGGATTTCTGGTTCTGAATGTGCAGAATCGGACACAATATAAGAGAGAGAAAGATAGAATCAGGTCTCCTGATCACCAGGGCAGGCATTTCTCCCCCCACTATTCCTCATGATACCATCCTCCTCATTACCATCCACCACTTGTTACAGAGCTCTTACCATATGCTGGGCTCTCTGCAAAGCCCTGACATCTTACTTCATTTAATCTTCACCAGAGTCCTACAAGATAGGGTCTTTGATCTCCGTTTTACACAGGGAGAATCAAGGCACGGAGAAATTAAGTATCGTATGTTAGCAACTCAGCGAAGGCAATGGATGTGCCCAGTGCATGAGTGCCAGACCAGGATTTGAACCCAGGCCCCTCTGACTCCAGCTCTATGCCTTGTGCTGGGTTCACGAACCCCCACCCACTGCCATTGAGTTCATTCTGACTCAGCAGCACGATAGAGGGCTTCTGCGGCTTTGTGAAGTTTTATGAGGGCAGACAGCCTCAACTTTCTCCCACAGCTGCTGGGTTTGAACCACCAACCTTGAAGTTAGTTAGGGCCAGCCACTCGTTATTTATACGGTCGTCATCTGTCAGCGCCACCTGCAGGAAGCTAACTGCAACAGCATGTCCTCTAACACACCTGAAAACGCCCAGCTATCGGATTAAAATGATTGCCCGGGGAATGGGGTGGCCAAATCCTCTTTGGGAAACACTGGTGTAGCCCATTCCCCTAGTTCCTGATGTCCCCTACTCCAGAGAAGGGATTTGTGGTCACACACATAGACTATCACAGAGGTTAAGACCCAAATGCAGGGCTGACACCCAGCCTGGCACTTACCCAACAGCACCACCCCATGTTAACAACAAACGCACAAAAATAAACAAACTTAAGGAAATAGAGACACAAACGAAAATCAGGAGGCTAGCGTGACTTTGAGGGCTTCATCTAACACAGTGTCTGGGTTTGAAGTCAGCAGACGGCAAATGAGGGGCATTCCTAGAACCAGAGTGTCCAACTTTCTGGTGTGGGTATCTCTTCAACCTTGGCAGGCTGGTAATGTCTGCAGTTATGGGGACAGTGAATTCGGAGGGACAAGGCAACCTGGACTATGGTTAAAATTAAAGGGACCGAGGAGGATGAGAGCGCAGACGGCCGTGGTCTTTGGGGAATGGAGGGCAGGAGGGAGGGAAGGCAGTCCCGGCAGGAGGAGAAGGGAAGCAGCACTCACCGAGGCAAAGGGAAAGACAATGGTCCACTTGCTTCCTCATTTGGCGGTGGAGGCCGGGGGGAGGCTCGTGAGCTTTGTTGTCACATGGGTGCTGTCTCTCAGGTGTCGCTGAGTTGATATGGACTCGTAGTGACCCCCATGGACAGAGTAGAATGTCTCCATAACATTTTCTCCGCTCGTCTTTACGGGAACAGATCCCCAGGCCTTTCTCCCAAGGGGCTGCTGGGAGGGAGTGAATCATCTTTTCCATTAGCAGCCAAATGCTCCTCCAGGACCTTATCAAACCCACTGGCATCAAGTCCGCTCCACTCCTAGTGATCCTACTTGGGTTTCCAAGACTGTAAGTCTTTAGAGGAGCACACAGCCTTCTCTCTCTCCTTCTGAGCAGCTGGGGGACTTGGCTGCCAACATGTTGACTAGTTAGCCCAACACCCAGCTCACTGCACCACCAGGACTCTCGTAAGGCCTTATAACCTCCCCGCCATGGAGTTCATGCCAACCCACAGCAACCTCACCAGGACCCCAAGGGACAGAGTAGAACTGCTCCTTTGGGTCTCCAAGTCTATACATCTTTAGGGGGGGGCCAGAAAGGCTTGTGCAGTCAAATGGATCACCTGGCCATTAGCAGTGCAACACATAACTCACTACGCCACCAGGGCTCCTTGTAAAGTGTTAGAGGCAGGATAAATACATCCTTTCAAAATCAGAGCAGAGCTCTGGAGGGAGACCCTTCCATGTTAGAGAGAGGACTGGAGTCATGGCTAGAACCCCCAAACGTGAGTATATAGAAGACCGAGTCCAAGGCTGTGGGGGAAAACTGCTCTCTTGTGGAACAAGTACTGTGGAGGCTCTAAAAGACAGTAAGGAGAGAGTGAGGCAAACACATAGTGTGTGCAGTGGTGGGCTGGGAGTGAAACCCAAGATCCCACACCTGGCTCCGAACAGAAACGCCATCCCATCCTTGCTGTCCTACAGGATGAATGGGTGATAGTGCAGCATGGAAGGGCTCTGAGGCCGGGTGGATACTCTTGAAAGGTGTGGGAGCTCCAAAACACTTCAGGGTGCTCAGCTGGAACCTGTACATGGATTAAGAAGTGGTTGTACAGACAGAATAAGGGCATATGGCATGCTTTAAAATTAGGAAAGGCATGCACCTAGGTTGTATCCTTTCTATATATTTTTTAATTTGTATGCTGAGCAAATCATCAGAGAAACTGGATTACATGAAGAATAATTCAGTATTAGGAATAGAGGAAGGCTTACTAACAACTTGCAATATGCAGATGACACAACCTTGTTTGCTGTCAGTAAGAGGACCAGAGGCACTTGCCGATGAAGATCAAGAATTGCAGGCCTTACTCGGAGCAGCTCACCCACAGAGAGGACTGAGGGCCGGCCTCAGCTCCAGACATGACGGCCCCTCCCTAGATGAGAGCGCTACAGAGGACAGCACTGAAGATACAGTTTGGGGAGAGCGGCTGGTCTGACCCACCCACATGGGCAAACCAAGAGGGGAGTGCAACAGACCAGCAATGGGAGCAAAGCCTCAAAGTCCCTGAGGGATCCCGATTGTAGACTTCTGACTCAGGGGCCAGCTCTGGGCACCACATCTGAACCGGTTGGGGAATATTCACAAGGGGGCCACTCTGAAAGTCTAAGGTCCAGTGGGCTGTGGCGTGGGGGCACTAGACGGCTCCATCCCTGACTGCAGGAAGATCAGTGGGGACTTGCAGGAGGATCGCCTATAGGTCCTGGATGCTGAGGACTAAAAGGGTTGAAGTGCTGTTAGGGAAACAGGTCCCCTGAAAGAAAAGGGGATTGGATTGATGGATTGTAACAGGTCCTGCCCACTGTTTAACAGAGATACCCATCGACTCCGGTTCAGGATAACTGTTAGGCTTGGAACTATTGGTATGGTCTTTCTTCTTCTTCTCCTTTGGGGGGTGGGTTCTATCTATATAAGATAAGAAGGTAAGCAATCCCAAGGGGACAGCAAAGGGCCCTACACTTCTGAGATGGGAGCAGGGAAAGGGAGTGGTGAGCCAATTCCGACAGGTACAGGGGAACAGCAAAGGATCTAAAATTGACGGTGAGGAGGGTGTAGCGTTCCTGGTCGTGTTTGATCAATTGAAATGTATCTGAGAGGAAGAGAGCAATTACTGAGAGGTGAACAATGGGTGGGGCAGGAGGAAATTAAAAACAAAAAGAGGAAAGAAGAAAGCAAAAACTATATTTAGGTATAAATGTAGATATGTAAATATATAAATACATAAAGATAGGCGTATTTGTCTATGTATATACAAGAAGGAAGCAGACAGACTTTGGGCCTCTACTTACATCTTACCTCAGACAAGAACGGATTGTTCTGCAATGTGGCAATGTAAGATACTTACCTTCCCAACACAATCACTGAAGACAAAATGGGTGCATAAGCAAATGTGGTGATGGTAATGGTGATGGTGCCCAGCTACTAAAAGATATAGTCTCTGGGGTCCCGGGCTTGAAGTTAAACAAGC